TATATATATGTGTGTGTGTGTGTGTGTGTGTGTGTGTGTGTCTTTAATCTAATTAATTAATCTAATTTATAACAAAATAATACCAGTTTAGCAGTTTTGGCTGAGTCAAATTAAGTCAATATTGTGTTACATGAGAAAAGCATTGAATAGACATTACAAAAAGTAGATTTAGAAAGAAATATTTAGATTCAATATTGCATACAAATTTATAATAAATGGGTATTAATGCTTTTTTTAAATGAATATTGAAATATTCAATTAAAAAAAAGAAAGAAAGAAAGAAAGAAAGAAATGATACTCTAAATATGAAACTAATACCACCAATAGGTGGCGTCAAGTCACTGTTTTAATGAAGGAGTCATTCAGTTTTTCATTCAAGTCATTTGTTCAAATGGCTGAATCATTCAGAAACAGCTGTGTGTTGATCTGAAAGGCACACATTGCAGTGGCTTTGTTTGGAAATATTTTTGTTTGTGAAACTGAGCAAAACAGACAGTATTGACAATATTGTGTCTAAAATGTGTCTGTTTTTTTTAAGTATTGTAAAAATAAATAAATAATCGTTTTCACATTTGCAATCATATTCGGGGAAAAACACCATTCTTGCTCATGTGATATTGCTAAACTATATCATATGATATAAATATAAGACAAAAACCCATGCAGGGCCTTTTTTTAAATAGTTTTTTGCATATAACTGCATTCTAATGATGCAGTCAGTCCATAACGCAGTCAGTCGTCGTCCTGCATCATGTTCATGCAATGTTAGATGACGTACAGGTCTGGGTCGGGCGGGCGCATTAAATGCATTCATTTGAATACGTTATTTTTTCCACAATTAATTGTACCGAATTAATGTGTTAAATCAACAGGGTATCTATACAGGGTACATATAGAGCACCCATATGAAGCACTAATGTAGAGGATCCAGATATTTACAATGCTTTGCTATGCTGTCTAAACAAATGGATCTGATTTTTTTTTTATAAAACAAATATTAAGTCTGTTTTCCAGTCTGTTTGTTTTTCTTTCTCAAAAGTCTTTCTGAAAAGCTCTTGGCAGCTACAGTAGGAATGGCTGTCAAATCCTAAAAGGAAATATTTGCAGTGTGAGAACAGCTTTAATCTCACTAACTCATTTATATCTGCAGGACTGTATTGGCGTGGCTGACCGCAGCTTTCTAGTGTAAATCACTGCTGTAGTCAAATAGAGCAAGAGAAAATGCGGTCTCAGGCTCATAACAAACGTATATTGAAGCTGAATTAGATCACTACGCTTTTAAAGTGGAGACAGAAAAATAATTGCGATGGTGATATGCAGGCACAGCATCTCTCTGCTGGAGCGGCTCGTCGGTTTGAAAGTAAGGTCACCCTCTATTTTCAGAATTATATAACCTTCCTGACCTGGTATAATTTAAGTGAATGAATGGCCCTGTTTTTAGTCACCTTGAGTCTTTCCTCCTGTTACTCTACAATATGTGTCTAACCTTTGTATCTGGGGCATATATGCTCATTTTGTGTGTCCTGATCTAATCGTTTATTAAAAACACTTTTACAATGCAATCATTTCAATAATGTTTGCTTAGACTGGGCTAAGACCATCTATTTAGCCCATACGGATATACAGTGGTGTGAAAAAGTGTTGGCCCCCTTCCTCATTTCTTATTTTTGCATGTTTGTCACACTTTAATGTTTCAGATCATCAAACAAATTTAAATATTAGTCAAAGAAAGCACAAGTAAACACAACGTGCAGTTTTTAAATGAAGGTTTTTATTATTAAGGGAAAACAAAATCCAAAACTACATGGCCCTGTGTGAAGAAGTGTTTGCCCCCCTGTTAAAACTGTGGTTTATCACACCTGAGTTCAATTTCTCTAGCCACACCCAGGCCTGATTACTGCCACATCTGTTCGCAATCAAGAAATCTCTTAAATAGGACCTGCCTGACAAAGTGAAGTAGACCAAAAGATCCTCAAAAGCTAGACATCATGCCGAGATCCAAAGAAATTCAGAAACAAATGAGAAAGAAAGTAATTGAGATCTATCAGTCTGGAAAAGGTTATAATGAACTTTTTGGAAGGTGTGTGTCCCATTATGTCTGGCGTAAAAGTAACACTTTATTTCAGAAAAATAACATCATACCAAAAGTAAAATATGGTGGTGGTAGTTCAATGGTCTGGGGCTGTTTTGCTGCTTCAGGTCCTGGAAGACTTGCTGTGATAAATGGAACCATGAATTCTGCACCCGCCGTGACGTCTCGCCCATCTATTGGTCTGATTACACACGAAATTCAGAGCCCGTCACGCTGAACGGCGTTCCCCTAGCGTTTCTCGACGCAGCTCGAGTTCCTGAAGAGGAACATTAATGCCATGAATTGTATGCGAGCAGCTACTGGTAGCCAATGCAAATTGGTGAACAGAGGTGTGACGTGCATTCTTTTCGGCTCATTAAAAATTAATCTTGCTGCCACGTTCTGGATTAATCGTAAATGTTTGATAGAACTGGCTGGAAGTTCTGTCTCAGCCAGGTTGTGTTGAAGGTGATGGTCCTTCATCCAGCAAGAAATGTCAGACATGCTGAGATGCAAGCAGTTATCGTCGGATCATCAGGATGGAATGAGAAGTAGAGTTGAGTGTCATCAGCATAGCAGTGATATGAAAAGCCATGTTTCTGAATGACAGAACCTAATGATGCCATGTAGACAGAGAAGAGAAGTGCTCCAAGAACTGAGCCCTGAGGCACCCTAATAATTAGATGTTGTGACTTGGACACCTCACCTCTCCAAGATACATTGAAGGACATTTCTGAGAGATAAGACTCAAACCACTGGAGTGTGGTTCCTGAGATGCCCTTTGCCAATAGGGTTGACATGAGAATCTGGTGGTTAACCGTGTCAAAAACAGTAGACAGATCCAAGAAGATAAGTATTGAAGATTTGGAATTTGCTCTTGCCAGTCTTAGGGCTTCAACAACTGAGAGCAAGGCTCGGTTGAATGTCCACATTATATATATATATATATATATATATATATATTTACATGTATATGTTAACATAAGTCAGTTCATTATGAAGTAAAATTGAACAGTAGTACTTTTATATATAAATCAACATCGATCAACATTGATAAATGCTGTAAAATGAACTGAGTCCTAATGAGTGTTGTTTCTTACTGATGTTTCATAGGCGGGGCTTCAACAACTGAGAGCAAGGCTCGGTTGAATGTCCACATTATATATATATATATATATATATATATATATTTACATGTATATGTTAACATAAGTCAGTTCATTATGAAGTAAAATTGAACAGTAGTACTTTTATATATAAATCAACATCGATCAACATTGATAAATGCTGTAAAATGAACTGAGTCCTAATGAGTGTTGTTTCTTACTGATGTTTCATAGGCGGTACTTCGGGGAGAAGATTGGGCTGTATTTTGCCTGGTTGGGCTGGTATACAGGTATGCTGATCCCTGCTGCTCTAGTCGGCCTCTTCGTCTTCCTCTATGGGCTTTTCACCATGGACTCCAGCCAAGTAAGGTCAGTCCCAGCAGGTATGCTCAGTTAATTCAGAATAACCCCCAGTGTGCCTGGACCAGGTCCCAGTAGTCCATATGTCAAAAAAGACAATCCTGTAAACTTTACCTGTAATGATGCCATTTTCATTCACTAGTATTCATTCCTCCCCTACAGTTTATTTAAAATAAAGCACCGATTCACGATTGTTGTGTTACAGTAAAGAGATCTGTGAGGCCAACACCACTATCATGTGCCCCATGTGTGAAGGCAACTGCAGCTCTTGGACACTGAGTGATAGTTGTGTCTATGCAAAGGTACTGTACATCCACCTACTACTGGCATAAACCACATAAGACCCCTTAGAAAATGTTAGAAGTTCAGTAAAACTGACAGATTTTTAATGTTTTGGTGTAATATAAGCCAGTCACTCAAATGGCCCTTGTGATGTGATGTAATGTTCCCGATAGTGTCGTCGATTCAATTTACTTGAGTCAGTTTGCATCTTGGCATCTGTCCTTGTAATTAGTTCACGATGCTGTTCTGTGGGAACATGAAAACTCAAGTAAACCAAGACAAACAACATGAAAGTCAAGAAAACAATACATCTTGGTTGTGTGTCGATAAACAAAGATTTTAGTCCTGTGGACAATTTAAGGCAAATACAATTTGTTTTGCTGGGATGTTTCTATTCGATGTTTCAGTGTAAAGACATGGTTTTCAGAATGTCTTTTTTATTATTGTAGACTCATTAGGAAAGCATGTTTTATCTGAAGTCAAAGATGTTCATATGTTTTAAATTAGAGTTTGGTCCTGGATTCTCAACATGCAAATCAAACACAGATTCCCCAAGCTGTGCAGCCAGTACTAAAATATGTTTTTGTGTCGTGGGAACATGGTGGTGACATGCCTGAGAGAGGCTAATATTTGAATAAAATACACATAATAATTGATTCCTGCCCAGAAGAGTTTTATTGCTTGAAGATTGCTCCTTCATAGCTCAGAAGACAATGTATTCACAGTTCTTTCTTGGCAACACACTATTGTCGTGAGCCTGGACACGGGCCAGCGGTAACAATGGAAATGTTATCAGCTACTGTCCTTACACCTTTCAGCAATTCTTTCCCACTGGTCCCACCCACACCAGTGAAACGATTTTGTCACATGGTTGCAAAACAAAGCTCCCAATGGGATGTCAGAGCAACAGATCAGTTGTTTCTACTCTAAACGTATATCACAATTGAGAGTCATTTGACACATGCCAATCATTTTCTCTGCATCCTACTACTGGAGTTTTGGTGACCACCAACTTTTTCTTCTGTCTCACTTCCTGCTTCTTAAGGAAGTTCATAATGCAAGTTTGAAAGGAGTTTATTAACCTTATCCTGTCAATCATGTTTCAAGGGTATATAAGCAGCAGCTAAGTTTAATTCTCTCCCATGACATTTCTTCAGCATCCCACCTCCTCCCCATTTCCACCTTTAGGCCCACATTTTTAACCCTATAGTTCGATGTAGTCCTTACAAAGCTTAATCTCAGTTCAAGACCAAGCATCCATTCATGGAAAGCACACCATCTGATTACCCTTTTTGCCAAATAATTTTATCAAGAGAACGTGTGAAACTCCATTGCAAACTCCTAGCACCGAACCTTGGGGTCTCATCCTGAGGTCTCTGATTTTGTACCTACATACATCAGAATCAGAAGAATGAGTTTTTATTGCCAGGTATGTTTACACATACGAGGAATTTGTTTTCATGACAGAAGCTCCACAGTGTAACAGAATGACAGTGACAGAACAAAAACACAGATAATAAAAAATTGAAAAATAGAACAAGTAACTAAGGCACTTACTCACTTACAGTACTATGTGACTGTGTAATTGCATGTTGTTGTCAGGCATACTATACATCATGTGAAGTCTTGTGAATGCATCTGGTTGGGCTTTTCCAAATTATGTAGCTGGCAAAGTTTGTCTTTTGGCTCAAGGATTATGTGAGTAGGTGGTCTTTCAGTGGCAGTGCTTTCTTTTGCTCGTGTTACCACAAAATGGCAATTCTCATTAAATTGCATATATTGGCCATTTCATTGCTGCAAATTGATATCAGAATGAATACCTCTTAACAATGTACTCATAGCAAACGTCTTTTTCATTCTTCACTTAGGGGTAAAAATAAGTTTAGGGGTAAAAGCAGTGTATACTATAAGAGAACATACCGATGCAGCTCACACTGCTGAGAGCACATTTAGGTGAATATGTAAATATGTGCTCCACGCTTTCCTCTCAATGATAAAATAAGCACACAACAAAAATTTGCTTAACATTTATTTATATAGCACTTTATACGATGTACTTACTGAAAAGAAGAAATTAAATGGAGTAGAGATTCCTGTTGAAGAAGGCGGAGCCACATAGCACACCTTCCTATCATGTAATCACCATGGACCACTGGTAGTTTGAAAATGTTCCGTAAGGTTTGCTTTGGTAAGCTGTTTCGAACTTGTGAAACAAACTCCAAATAAACTGCGTTTTGTTCTGATTTAGTTGAAAATGAAGCCATACCAGTTTGTTCTTCAATTTAGCTTGAAGATAATTGGAGCCTTAAGTCCTGATTTTTTTTCAACACAGGATCATTGGAAATATGTGCATGTGGAGACATTTCTGCAACACCGATATTACGTACCTTATTGCACATTTCACGGAAGTTTCAAAGTGAAATGTCCAGTGAGTGGAGCTAAAACGCTTGTTCAACACGTGACTGTGGCCATGTTTTTATTACGTTGGTAATAGTTTCATAGGATTTGTTCCGGAGCGCTTCACCTCACAAGTGCATCGTCGTATCGCGTGAGCTACCGAACCTACTGTGTTAGAAAACCCATACATATGAAGCTTTATATGTAACACTAATGTTCAAAAGTACCAGTTTTCTTGCAGCATGTTAAAATTGTTTTGAGGTCATAACATAATATTGTGCAAGTTAAAATTAAAAACTCTGGCCCTGTAAACCATAATTTGTGTGAAGAAACATAAAAGTTGTCAGAGTTTTATTGGCTCTAGTGTTTCTTTCAACTTAATACACTTTTTGAGTTTTGCAGAAACTTAGTTAGAGGCACATATGAGGCTGGGTAGGTTTTTTTCTTTTTTTGCTGAAATTCATAACCTCATCCCATGACCTCATGTGGCTCATTGTGTGAATGAGAAAAATGTAAAACTTGTAAAATGGTTACAAATTGTCATTAGACCGATTTAAAAATCAGATTTGACTAATTTCCTAATTATACATTCTTAATTAAATACATTGCCTCTTTTTGCCCACCAGGTGACCCATCTTTTTGACAATGGAGGCACAGTCTTCTTTGCTATCTTCATGGCAATATGGGGTGAGTTTGAATCTTTTCGATTTAATCAGTGCTCATTCACCAGCAGAAAGACAGACAGGTCAGCATTTGGTTTAAAGTACAAATTAAGTAATTATAAAAGAGGCTTCCTTCAGCGGATGAAGAATCTATAGCATTCTGTGGTCTGCTATAATAGGATTCACTCAAAAGCCCAAGAGAAGCAGCTGTAATCAATCACTGCTTTGTCCTAAATTACAACAAATGATCCAATCAGGTCACAGTAGACCTCACTTACAGCCTAAACATGTAAATACTTCAAAAGTGCTTGAACTTCAGTTTTTTCCTTTGAACACGAGGAGGGATAAATAGATAAGTGTTGAAGGATGGCTAGAAGCGATCACAGGTGAGTTAGTGCTTGATAATTGTAGGCACATTATAAAGTGTGATTGTGATTCCCAGGAGTGAATTTAGAGGAAAGTAATGTGAGCAGGAGACTCTACGGGCTGGTAGATAAGTTCTCTGAGAGATTTACAGGGCTGTAGATGTTTACCTTCAAATGTGCTGTTTAACCAAATTTTATTATTCAAGTACAATAGCTAGTTAAAAATATGTTGGCAGTTTAACTAGCTCAGAAAAATTATCTTCAACAATGTTGCTCCACCATAACAACAGTTGACCTGAAAGGAAAAACTAACTGTACAAGTTTACACTAATGCCCTTTGTTGCCTTGCTTATTATTGAACTGTATGATACATTCAGGTGCAGAACTCTAGGTGACGTGTGTGGGATCTGAACAAAGCAACATATTAGTCACAGCCATATTTTTAACAGCTGAAAAAATAGCTATAAAAACAATGCATGACACATATGCTATTAACACTATCAGTTAGGGTAGCTGCAATAAACTGTGCTACCCTGGCAACTAATTAAACCCCTTAATTGATCAAAAATGATTGTAAATGGTGAACAAAAGCTATAAACAAATTGTTAAATTACTTTTAAAGTTAATTCATGAACTGCTCAAAAAGATGGCTTTAGTTAGGATGAAGTTCTGTTGTCAAGAGAAACCAGAATAAATGCCTATAGTTCAGGCAAAAGCTCTACAACGATGACCACCCATTAACACATCGGAAATCCGCCAACAGCTTTCTAGAAGCTTAGAATGGAACAAAATGTGTACAGATAAAAGCTAACCTTAAATACCAATTAAATATATGTCCTTACTGCAGACTATTGGGAGTGTCAACCTTATTGATCTGCAGAAGCAAATCCCAAGTTATCTTTCTATGGCTCTTTGGAATAATGGATTCTAATTGGTCACTCACTACAATGCTTATTTTTACATTCTGAAATCTAAACTTTATATTTTTAATTGTCTGTGGGAACAAAAGAGTGCTATTTTCATTTTTCTTGTATCACTCGACAGCCTCTTTCTTTTCATGCAGATGCATGCTAAAATACCTCATTGGCACTTTTAACTCAAATAATAATTTAACAGTAAGCACACAAGCATTAAACATTTAATAGATGGCTAGAAGCATATGAGTTCCCAGTTATACTAAAAAAAACCTTCTCATTTTATGTATGTAACCCAGTTCCCTGAGAGGGGAATAAGACACTGCACCACTGTTTTGGTGCTATGGGAATGCTTCACGCAAGCCAGTGCCTGAAGCACATGTCTGCACCCGCCAATTCCTGACTGGGTGAGCGTGATGACGCAGCGACATGGTGTAGTACATCACTGAAACCATAAATAGATGCCAAGCTAACGTGTCGTCTGACTCTAATTGTCTTGAGACGACGCGCAGGCATGGTTTGGCCACGTGACATAGTGTCTCATTCCCCTTTCAGGGAACTGCGATACATGCATAACATGAGACGTTCCCTTTCGAGTCGAACTCGACGCCATGTCATTGTTTTGATGTTATGGGAACTTCAATGCCAATGGCACCACATCACAGAGTAGTACCTGCCCCACAAGGCTGTGAATAGCACAGACAGTTGTTGAGGACAGGCTAAACCCCAATCAACCCTCAAGAGTTCAGAGTTCAGACTATAAAACCTGATGAATATGTGCAGAGAGGGCCATCCTGCCGCAGAACATCTTGTAAGGATGCATCCCTGGCAAGGGTCTTGGAAGATGCAACACACAAAGCTGAAATTGCGGCCACAAGGACCTTTAGCATAGCAGGGGTCAAATCCATTGACAGGCAGTCCTGAAGGAACTCCAGCACTGAACCAATAGGGCAGCTGACTGGGTTCAGGTGGTGCTGCTCGCACCATGATAAATAGAGTCTCCATTTCAGGACATATGACCTCCTGGTGGACTCTGGTGCTCAGAATTGTCTCAACATCCTTGGTTGGGAGACCAGAATCTAGGAGCTGGTACCCCTCAGGGGCCAGACCTAAGGTTTCCAAATCTCCAGCTTGGGGTGGTGGATCATCCCCTGCAGAAGATCTAAGCTGGAGGGTCAGTATCTTGAACCTGTACAGTATGTCCGAAGAATATGGTTCAGGCCCCTCAGATCTAAAACTGGACACAGCACTCCATCCTTTTTGGGTAAAATAAAGTTCAACCTGTACAACCCTGAATCTTTCTTTGGGAGAGGTACATGCTCTATGGTTCCTTTTTCCAGGAGAGACTGCAGTTACTGGTTGAAAAAGACTGATTCTTGGCGTACTACTGTTGTTACTATGTTGTTGAACCGAGGTGGACAGAAGACAACTCGGTCCTGGAGGGCCGGTGTCCTGCAGAGTATAGCTCCAACTTGCCTCAACACACCTGCCTGGAAGTTTCTCGTATGCCTAATAAGACCTTGATTAGCTGGTTCAGGTGTTTAATTGGGGTTGGAGCTAAACTTTGCAGGACAGTGGCCCACCAGGAGCAGGATTGGACACCCCTGTTGTGGCCTTTTCTTATGGTATTCAATACCCACTGAGATATTTGGCAGAAGCTACCAGAGGGATCATTTTTTGTTCTCTGAACGCTGCCGATCTGTGGCTCTTGTTAGTTCTTTCACTGTCTCAGGGGACAATCCCTCACTGAAATCCAGTTTTAATTATGGTTTCGGTGATGTAGTACACAACATCACTACGTCATCATGCTCAACCTATCAGGAATTGCCATGTGCACATGTGCTTCAGACACTGGCTCTCGTGAAAACATTGTCTCGTGAAACATTCCCATATCATCAAAACAATGATGCAGCGAGTTCCATTTGAAAGGGAACTTATACATTTCTCTGGAAGAGCTGGAAGCGAGAGAATGTAAAATGCTACACTGAAGTTAAATAGTTTTTTTCTAAATAATCAATACAACAGGTAACAAGCCAGTCATTATTGTGATATTATCATATTCAATATATGAAATGCATTTTAAATAAAAATATAAATAGATAGGGAACCCCTTATGCAGAAGTTCAGTGTACAGTAATTATGAGAAGTACTAATGCATTAATGCCTCTTTGAGGTCCTTTACTCAGCTGTACAGCTGGAAGCTCTTGAATGTTTATAGATAAGCTACAAAATTGATTCAGAAAATTATATGACTAATGGCTGTTTGTATGCTATATGGCTTGTTTGGGTTTTTTTATTCTGTAAGACAGTAGATGATCAAATGATTAGCTGTAGAAATGGCCATCTAGAGTAAAACAAATAGAGAAGTAGAAAGACCTGACTGAGAGAGCAAAGACATCATGACTTTGAGGTCAGGACCTCAACACAACTCTTAACATAACCATGCGCTGCTTTGACCTCCACATAAAGCACTGCACTTGCTACGGAAGGGTACAGAATTTTCACAGTTGCCAGGAAAAAATAAAAACACAGGAAGTTGTGTAAATAATGAAAATGATGAAGGCAATCCAGATATGCTCAGAAACAGTTCAAGGCAGAAAGCTAACCGGATTTTTTGGCTGATGGATGGCAGTTGATTTTCTTGTTTATTAAACAATGTGCATGGAAAATACAAGACACCTCAATTCATCTTTACATTTAGGGTAATTGTGTATTTTTGAGGGATGGGTGGCAACTGAAAATTGTATTTGATGCTTTCCTTCAAAACGTCCACTACTTTGGGGAGTGTTGACAAAAGTCATATTAGTGTAATAATAGAACACTGTGATGGGGACTGTACTGTTCCTGACAGAGAGACCCAAGTGGATCTGCAAGTCTAAATCCTGAGAGCTCCAATGTGAAGACAGCTTTCAGCAAGAAGACTGGGCTTTAAAAAGTAAACAATTCTCCTTTTGGTCTCTCACTCGGTTTCTTCCCTTCCAGCTCTTTTGCTTTCAACAAAAGTGGGTCATACAGTCCTTTGGTAGAAACGAGGGACATGTGAACTCAGAGAGCCCAGATGTTTTTTTATTTTAAATGGTTAAATTTAACATGAAAACCTCACAGAGCTTATCTTTGTCACGTTTATGTCTGTTCTCCCTGCATTGACCTAGTTTTCCTGTGTTGCTTGATTAGTTCATTAGTTTCCACCTGTGTTTGTTAATCATCCTATTAGTCTATTGTTTGATTTAGTATTTATAGCCCTGCCTTTCCTCAGTTTCTTTGTCCTGTCTCCGTCATGTAAAGAGGTTGTTTTCCTCTACATTCCCAAGAAAATTGATTAAAGACTCTGTTCGTTTGACTATCAGCCTCCTTTGTACTCCTTCGAGCTCCTTTCCCCTGGCAACCCATGACAACCCATGACAGAAGACAGGACCAATGAAAAGGATGGACTGGGCTGAGGACGTTCTTCTAAACATCCAGCAGAATGGAAGGCCTTTGGAGTGATATGTGGAGGAGTTCCTGAGTGTCTCCATCTGGTGAGCTGGAGTGATCATATGCTTAATGCGTGCTTCCGGATGGGACTAGACGATGATAATTTATTCCGATTCTTGTCTCCAGACGATTGTTATAGACCCGTAGCAGATTTTATTAATTTTGTTCTCGATTTAAATTGCTCTAATTTCTTTGTTGAAGTAAATAATGATAACTGTTCAGTCCCTATCTGGAGGCATGTTGGCACTCCAGTTCACCATAAACCAGCCCCCTCCACATACCGCTCCAATGAGCCCGCTCGCTCCGTTCCACCCCTGCTTTCCCGAGCCCGTCCAAGATCCATTCCATCCCTCAGCCCAGAAAAAGAGGCACCAGCACTCCCTCTAGAGTCCACTCCAGCGTGCCTCTCAGCGCTATGGCACTACCCCCAGCATTCTCGGCTCCTATCCTCTCGCCTGAGTCTGCTCCAGAAAACTCTCCTTCCTCTCCTGAGTCTCCTTCGCCTCCGCTGGTCCCGTCCAGCCCTCCTTCATTTCCTGAGCCCCCTGTGCTAGCCAGCCCCACTCCTCCAGAGCACCCTCCAGTGCCCGCTCCTCCAGAGCGCCCTCCAGTGCCCGCTCCTCCAGAGCGCCCTCAAGTGCCCGCTCCTCCAGAGCGCCCCCCAGAATTCCTAATTTTCCCCAAGAAAATGTTTGGGGAGGGGGCATATGTCCGTGGCCGTGGTGGCCGAGCTGGCTAAGGTCACGGAGGATCCGCCATGGCCTCCTGAGTCCCCTGATCCGCCCATGACCTCCTGGACTGCCTGATCCGCCATGTCCCCTGCTCCGCCATGGCAACCTGAACTGTCTGCTCTGCCATGGCCTCCCGAGCTGCCTGCTCCACCATGGCCTCCTAGTCTGCCTGCTTCGCCATGGCCTCCTGAACTGTCTGCTCCACCATGGCCTCCTAGTCTGCCTGCTTCGCCATGGCGCCCCAAACTCCCTTATCCGCCCTGGAGGCCTTCCTTGTCTCCACCTTGTTCCTGCCCTGCACCAGCCTCCAGGGTGCCCGCCCCCCTCCCCATTGGAACGGTTACGGCGCGGGACGATATGTCACGTTTATGTTCTGTGTTTCTGTTCTCCCTGCCTTGACCTAATTTTCCTGTGTTGCTTGATTAGTTCGTTTCCACCTGTGTTCGTTAATCATCCTATTAGTCCATCGTTTGATTTAGTATTTATAGCCCTGCCTTTCCTCAGTTTCTTTGTCCTGTCTCCGTCATGTAAAGAGGTTGTTTTCTCCTATGTTCCCATGAAGATTTATTAAAGACTCTGTTCGTTTGACTATCTGCCTCCTTTGTACTCCTTCGAGCTCCTTTCCCCTGTCAACCCGTGACAATTTTATTTTTACTTTGATTTATTTAGTATTCCTTTTAGTGCCTAAATCAATTCCTGTGATACTGTGAAAAATTCATGCTTCTGAATAAGCTAGCTGATTACATTCCGTAAGCTAGATTGAATCTGAATGTCTACCAGTGAGATATGAAACATTATAAAATGGATAGTTCTAATCCAAAACCCTGTTTTGTTGCGAATTCAAAGCTGGTGTAAAATGTTGATGATCTGTGATCATGCGTTCTATATTATTGCTATTATAACCAGTCATGTGGGGTTATTTTGGTGCAACTTCACGAAAGCAGCAATGTTTGTGGAAAAGACAAAAGTATTTGATAAACAGCAAAAAAGCAACACTTGTGGAGTGGAGAAATGAAAAAAAATCAAATGATAAACCTAAAAATGGTCAATACAGACAAAGACAACATTTGTACTTCTGTATTTTATTTATTATGCATTTTTATGCAGTTTGTACATCTGTATTGTATTTTTATGCATTTTAATTAAGATTGTTAATGTAACTACAGGTGCATCTCAATAAATTAGAATGTCGTGGAAAATTTCATTTATTTCAGTAATTCAACTCAAATTGTGAAACTCGTGTATTAAACAAATTCAGTGCACACAGACTGAAGTAGTTTAAGTCTTTGGTTCTTTTAATTGTGATGATTTTGGCTCACATTTAACAAAAACCCACCAATTCACTATCTCAACAAATTAGAATATGGTGACATACCAATCAGCTAATCAACTCAAAACACCTGCAAAGATTTCCTGAGCCTTCAAAATGGTCTCTTAGTTTGGTTCACTAGGCTACACAATCATGGGGAAGACTGCTGATCTGACTGTTGTCCAGAAGACAATCATTGACACCCTTCACTAGGAGGGTAAGCCACAAACATTCATTGCCAAAGAAGCTGGCTGTTCACAGAGTGCTGTATCCAAGCATGTTAACAGAAAGTTGAGTGGAAGGAAAAAGTGTGGAAGAAAAAGATAGAGAGAAACCAACTGAGAGAACTGCAGCCTTATGAGGATTGTCAAGCAAAATAGATTCAAGAATTTGAGTGAACTTCAACATGAATGGACTGAGGCTGGGGTCAAGGCATCAAGAACCACC